GATCCGAACCCTCGGCGGGAGCGCCGCCTCACTCCCAAGCAGCACACTGTAGCAGTGCGCCACCGGGCCGGCCCCCACCTTCATTTTTTAAGGGTCGTTTAGTTGGATATTAAATTCTTGGTTGAAAATTATTCTACTACCTTCTGATGACTTGAGAAGTCAGCTATTAATTGTATTGTCATCTCCCTACAGATAGATCCCCTTTTTTCTCTCGTTGCTTTTAGCAGTTGGAGTTTGATGTGTTTACATGTTTATAAGACTTGGGGTTTATTGAGTTTCTCGGATTAGTAAATTAGTGATTTTCATCAAATTTGAGAAATTTTTGATGATTGTTTCTTCAGACATTTTTTCTGCCACTTTCTCTCTCACTCCTTCTGGGACTCCCATTACATGTTTGTTGGTGTGCTTGATTTTGTCCCCCTGAGTCTGTGAGGCTCTGTTCACTTTTTTTCAATATTTTCTCTGTTCTTCATATTGGATCATTTATTTGCTCCTTCTTCACATTCACTGATTCTTTCTTCTCCTGCCTTGAATCTGCTTTGGACCCATCTAGTGATTTTTAAAATCTTGTTTATTGTATTTTTCAACTCTAAACTTTCCATTTGGTGCATTTTTATAGTTTCTATTTCCCTACTAAGATTCCCTTTTTCAGTCATTGTGATCATATTTTCCTTTACTTCTTTGAATATAATTTCCTTTAATTGTTCAAACATATTATGAGAGTTGTTTAAAGTCCTGTTTGCCTAATCATTCTGGGTCCACTCAGATCAGTTTCTACTGATTGCTTTTTCTTTCCTAAATATGGATCATATTTTCCTATTTCTTTGCATGCCCAAATTTTTTGTTGAAAACTGACATGATGGGTAATATATGGCAGCAAATTTGGATGCTGATTGTCTTGAGGGTTTTTTCATGTATGTATTTGTGTAGTAACATGTCTGGACTTGATAGATAGAATATGTCTCTCCCACAGGATGCAGCAGCTGATGTCTCTGCTCAGTTTTTAAATCTTATTTTTATTTTTTAGACTGAATTCTAGGAGCCATATAGGGCCAGCATAGCTTTGTGGTCAATGATTTGGGAAGAGGTTGTGCTAAAATCCTTGAGCCCCTAAGACCTGTACCTTCTGCTGTGTGGGTTGAGAAGCACATTCAAAGTTCAGTCAGTTCTCATCCCGGCTTCAGCTTTTACTTTCCATCAAGCCCTCTAGAGGAGCTTATGTAGTCCTTCTGTGTCTCATCTCCAGGATCTCCCCCATTAAATATATGTTTGGTCTGCCACTCACCACTCAGTCTAACTGGGACTACAACCTCAGACTATCAGAGCTGCAAGATTTCCCTGTTTGTTTTCTGTCTTTTCTGCCAAGTTTGCTCCTTTTACTGATAATGTTTCTGGGCATGGGTTAGCAACTTTCACCCCAAATCAACTCAAGTCAGCCCCTCTGCCCAGGAAGTAAAGCTGCTGGTTTTGCTGACCAGCTCTGCTCTGATAAAACTACTTTCCTGATCAAGCTAGAGGGTGGGGATGGAACAGCCCCAGGTAAGAAGTCCACAGACACTCATTGTTCTTATTTGAAATTCTAGCCATTTCTCATGAATAATTTTTTCAATTTGTTGTTTGACTTTGATCCATTTCCAGAGCACTGAAATGGTTGTTTTTTATAATTTTATCTAATTTAATACTTGTTTTGGGGTGGATTGGATTCCTGACTACTTCTAACCACCTAGTCCTATATCCCACCCTCTTGACTTTCTTAGAAAGAGGTGTTGCCTTTGTCTGGTCAGGTCACAGGTTTCCCTTTGCCCTTCCAACCACTTTGTGTACAAGCCACCCCTTCTGGGATTCCAGCTCTTT